TTGATGGTCTACCAACTAAGCCATACCGGACAGGATTTACCTGGTTTGTTTTAAATTATCTTCATGAGGCCAAAAGGCACATGAAAACATGCTCAAAGTCACTAATTATCCGAGAGATGCAAATCAAAACAACAATGCGGTACCATCTCACACCTGTCAGAATGGCCAACATCAACAAATCAACAAACGACAAGTGATGGCGAGGATGCAGAGAAAAAGGATCCCTTGTGCACTGCTAGTGGGAATGCAGACTGGTGCAGCCATTGTGGAGAACAGTGTGGAGTTTCCTCAAAAAAACTGAAAATGGAACTCCCATTTGACCCAGTAATCCCACTCCTAGGAATATATCCCAAGAAACTAGAAACACCAATCAGAAAGGATATATGCACCCTTATGTTCATAGCAGCACAATCTACAATAGCCAGAATCTGGAAACAGCCTAGGTGCCCGTCAGCATATGATTGGATCAAAAACCTGTGGTACATCTACACAATGGAATACTATGCTGCCATAAAAAAGAAGGAATATTAAATTATCTTCATGATCCACGCTGAAACCGGTTTGGCTCAGTGGATAGAGCGTTGGCTTGGGGACTGAAGGGTCCCGGGTTCAATTCCGGTCAAGGGCATGTACCTTGGTTGTGGGCATATCCCCAGTAGGGGGTGTGCAAGAGGCAGCTGATCGATGACTCTCTCTCATCGATGTTTCTAACTCTGTATCTCTCTCCCTTTCTCTCTGTACAAAATCAATAAAAAATATTTTTTTTAAAAATTATCTTCATGATCCAGTACTAGTAATCCCTCTAGTCTTTCATAATAGTAAACTGTGAAGGATGTGAAGGGATCCCTCAGGGGATGTCCACCTGTCCGCTCTCCAGAGTCTGGGACCCCTTGCTCCTTACTGCCTGCCTGCTCACTGTTCCTTACCACTCGGGTTGCTGCTTCTCGGCGCTGATACAAAGGCAGGAGAGGCTCCTGCTCCCACCACAACCACTGCGCTCACCAGCCGTGAGCCCAGTTTCTGGCTGAGCGGCACCTAACTTACAGGTGACACTCAGGGACTTTGTTTGGAATACACTCCAGCCTATGTTATTTTGGTAATAATTGAGTCTATGAAAATTAGTGGGAATATTAAACTGTAACAAGGGTATGAGAGGTGGAGGTATAGTGAAATCTTAAAATTCTTTAAAAAGTCATTGTAACTCTATGAGGCAGATGCTTTGTGTTACCTATATTTTTTTGTGGACATCAACATACATTGCACCTCCTGTTCCTTTCTGTTGGTATATACTTCCCATATTCTTTAGGCTTCATTTTCCCTTCATGGTACCTGAATATCTGTTTAGTGATAAGAAGGCCTCTTACCAAGCTTGCTTCTTGAGGTGCTCAGAACTCGGCCTTGATTTATTTATTTTTTTAAATATATTTTATTTATTTTAAAAAATATATTTTATTGATTTTTTACAGAGAGGAAGGGAGAGGGATAGAGAGTTAGAAACATCGATGAGAGAGAATCATCGATCAGCTGCCTCTTGCACACCCCCTACTGGGAATGTGCCCGCAACCAAGGTACATGCCCTTGATCGGAATCAAACCCGGTACCTTTCAGTCCGCAGGCTGATGCTCTATCCACTGAGCCAAACCGGTTTTGGCAGGCCTTGATTTATTATTAGTTGTATGGTTGTAGTATTTTTTGTCCCATTAATTGTAGTATACTATTTAAAATATACCATACTTATATCAAATACCACTTACCATAAGTTAATATTCTAAAAGGTCAGATCTGCAGATCTTATCCTATATAATCAAAGTCTACCGAAAGGCGGAATGACCAGTCACTATGACGCGCACTGACCACCAGGGGGCAGACACTCAATGCAGGAGCTGTCCCAATGGTGGCCAGTGTGCTCCCACAGGGGGGTGCCGCTCTGGTGAGCACAGTGGTTGTGGTGGGAGCAGGAGCCTCTCCTGCCTTTGCATCAGCGCCGAGGAGCAGCAACCCGAGTGGTAAGGAGCAGTGAGCAAGGGGTACCGGACTCTGGAGAGCGGACAGGCGGACATCCCCTGAGGGATCCCGGACTGCGAGAGGGTACAGGCCTGGCTAAGAGACCCCCCCCCCCCACTCCAGTGTACGAATTTCTTGCACTGGGCCTCTAGGTTTTTCATAATAATGTGATTTAAATAGGTACATTTTCTTGCTGTTGCTCTGAGTATTTCAGATTAAATTTAAAGTATAAGGATATCTTGTCTAAATTTTAATTTAGATAAGAATGATTAGTGCTGAATACCAGCTAGGCTAGGGGGAAGTAGACTCCAGAGAGATTCCCTCTAAAGCGTTGAAGACAGGTTGTATTTCAGCCATACTAAATTAAGAAATGGAGCTCATTACTTTTTATTCATTTAGTTTTAGTGACTCAAGTGTAACGTGACAAGGCATTGCCAAGTTCCTGAATAAAATGTTCACTGTGTCTGGCACTGAAGGCAGTGGGCATTTCCCTGTTGGATGTGCTCTCTAGGAAATTGTACCTGCTTCTATCAGCTAAGCTGATGAGTTTTCACAGAAGCCTTAATGTAGGCATCTCTGGATTTTCAGGTCATTCATTGGAGCAGACACCAGTACCCTAGACTCTGCTTTTATTCATCCTGCTTCTTTGCTACCTTGGGGCCCTTTCATTAAGAAATCAAAACAGAGCTTTTAGGTAATGTGAGGGTTTAAATATTAAGAAGCAACAATGGCCAAAACCGGTTTGGCTCAGTGGATAGAGCATCGGCCTGCGGACTGAAAGGTCCCAGTTTCAATTCCGGTCATGTACCTTGGTTGCGGGCACATCCCAGTAGGGGGTGTGCAAGAGGCAGCTGATTGATGATTCTCTCTCATCGATGTTTCTAACTCTATCCCTCTCTCTTCCTCTCTGTAAAAAAAAAAAAAAAAAAAAAAAAAAAAAAAAATCAATAAAATATATTAAAAAAAAAAAATCAGCGGGGCACTGATTTCCAGACAGAGAGAGCTATTCTGAGGGAATAAAGTTGGTATCCACCCCTGTCACCTCCCACTCCACACAAAGAAACCAAGGTCAGCTAAAGCAGTAGTCGGCAAACTCATTACTCAACAGAGCCAAATATCAACAGTACAACAATTGAAATTTCTTTTAAGAGCCAAATTTTTTTAAACTTAAACTATATAGGTAGGTACATTGTTATTAACTTAATTAGGGTGCATGGTATTTTGTAGAAGAGCCACACTTCAGGGTCCAAAGAGCCGCATGTGGCTCTCGAGCCGCAGTTTGCCGACCATTGATAAAGTGTTGGGCAGCAGGGTCTTAGAATACTTGTCATAGAAGGGTAGAGAAGTAACATACACCTGAGAGAAATTTTTGCCCTGAGTCAGATGTAACCCTGCGGGGAATCTCCTTGTCCATGTCTCTTTCTCTTCCTGAGACACAGACACAGGCGGAACAGATTTTGTATAACACAGTGTTTATAGCAAAATGCTGTCCGGACCTGGAAACTGTCAGATTTTTGGATGTGTTCATAAATAGGAAGTTAACTATTTGCAATTTAGGGATTTTAAAAAATTGTTTTCCACCTGAGAAAGATTATATCTTATATTGAGAAGTGGGCAATGTTGTGGGTTTCGGAATGTTAAGGGTTTTTTGTTTTTGTTTTTTTAAGTTGGCAGTAGGGATTTACTTGAAAGGACTGTGAGTGAAATCAGTCTGTTCTACAGCATTTCACCTGACTGGGTTTGAAATGACTTGGGGCAGGTTTATCTCCTGAAGTCTCACCCACTTCCCCATCTATAACCTAGTTCTAGGCTTCCTCAGCAAATACTGCATTTACAACCGCTCTGGCCAGATAAGGTTTAATAAATGTTAACCATTGTTGTCTTCTTTTTTAAAAATATGTTTTTATTGATTTCAGAGAGGAAGGGAAAGAGTGAGAGAGAGAAACATCAATGATGAGAGAATTATTGATCAGCTGCCTCCTGCATGCCCCACACTGGGGATTGAGCTGACAACCCAGGCATGTGCCCTTGACTGAAATCTACTCTGCAGGCTGATGGTCTGTCCATGAGCCAAACCAGCTAGAGCAACCATAGTTGTCTTCATTTTTGTTGTAATCTTTTATTCCTCTATTCCTCAGGGATATTGTGTATTGATCATTCACATGTAGATAGATTATCTTTTTGTAACCAATGTCATTAGGAAGTTAGGATATTTAAGATCTAACCCTCCACACTTCTCTTAACAAGCAATAATAAAAAATATCCTTTGGTTAACCTACTTCTGTGAAATCACTTCTTTTTTTTTTTAAGTTTTAGGGATATGTTTAAATTTTTTCTTCTATAAAAGAGTGAACCTTCTCCTTTTTGCTATTGAGACCAAATAGAATTTTAAAAATTGGATATATGTAATTAATAATGTCCTTTCATCTTTAACTCATTATATGCTGTAGAACAGACTGATTTTACTCACAAATTCCTTGACCACATGATCTTATTAATTATAGAACTTTATTTTTAAAATAATACATGCATATTAGAAAGTTCGCTTATTAGTTATATCAAATGTCTTGGCTTTTGTCCAAGGTTCCTGGGCTGGAGGAATCTTTTAAAATACATTTTACCTCTACAATTCCTTGAAAATAAGTTATTTTAACACAAAAATATTTTTTTGTTTGTTTATTAATCCTTACCCAAGGATATTTATTCCATTGATTTTTAAAGAGAGTGGAAGGGAGGGAGGAAAGAAAGGAGAGAGAAAGGTGAGAGACATACATTGATTGGTTGCTTCCTGCATGCACCCCACTTGGGACTGGGACTGAACCTGCAACCCAGGCGCATGCCCTTGACTGGGAATTGAACCCATGATCCTTCGGTGCATGGGCTTACCATCTAACCACTGAGCACATCGGCCAGGGCAACACAAAAAGACTTTAAATCTTTACTGTGTTTTGCATTTTTTAATCCCTTCCCTTGCCTTTCAGCATTAAACTGAAAAGATGTCACTGTATGATGACCTGGGAGTGGAGACCAGTGACTCGAAAACAGAAGGCTGGTCCAAAAACTTCAAACTTCTACAGTCTCAGCTTCAGGTGAAGAAGGCAGCTCTCACTCAGGCAAAGGTAAGATAAGCCCACAGTGTGAAAGTAGAAGTCTACAGAGCAGGTTCCTCCTTAGATTAAGTGTAATATGATTTTAGCTTGCTCTGCTGCCTTTTTATTGATTATGTAGGCTTAAACATTATTGGGGAGAGAGGCTGTATGTAGAGAAGAATAAGGAGCTAAGGGTCATTTTGCTCTTCCCAATTTCTGGGAATGGAACTATTTCAGGGATTCCAGTGGAGAAAGGCAATACTCTTTGTTTCCGACAGTGGTACAGGTTTTCAGACTTTAGTATGTCTAAGATCACTGATAATTTTGTTCAAGTATTGCTTTGATGGTCATATTCCTGATATTCTGGTAAATTCTAGTTCTAGATTGGGGCCCATGGGCGTTTGCATTTTTGGTAATATTCCTACTGTTAGTTGTAGGTGATTTTTAAAAAAAATATATTTTATTGATTTTTTACAGAGAGGAGGAGAGATAGATAGAGAGCTAGAAACATCGATGAGAGAGAAACATCGACCAGCTGCCTCTGGCACACCCCATACCAGGGATGTGCCTGCAACCAATGTACATTTCCTTGACCGGAATTGAACTTGGGACCTTTCAGTCCGCAGACCTTTCAGTCTACCATTGAGCCAAACCGGTTTCAGCCAGTTGTAGGTGATTTTGAATCAGCACTTTGAGAAAGAAAGCTCTAGTAATTATTATTACAGTAAGCTGTAATAATGAGTTTGTGTTTTTGAGGGCTCAGATTGGTTGCTAATATGTCAGCTATATGTAGTATGGGAGTCATTGTTTTTGTTGTATACATGTTGGGCATTGGCTGTATCCTTGAAATTATTCAACATGTAAAACATTAAAAACTTAGGTGCCCACTGGATATTTGATATTAAAATGTTACTGTCAAATACTTTTAGGAACAAAATAGAAAAGCAGAATAAAAATATTCTAGAGATATACAAATTAAAAACTACTTGGGATAATTCTTTATTACTAGTTTAAAAATTGTCAGCTTTGTGAATTACTTGTAGCCAATCTTTTAAAATCCTAGATAATTTGTTTCTTCCTGCCTAATACTTTAAGATTACTTTCTCTACCCAGCCAGCATAATTATAAATAGGTTAAAAATCAGCTTAAATAAAATAAAATTGAGAAAAATAGATTCTTCTAAAGAGAAGTATATTAAAAAGTTGTAAAATTTATGGATAACACACTGATTTTTCTGTATGATTATTTTACTCACATGAAAAGTAAAGAATTGGGTGCTGATAAGCAAGGAATTATGTTTTTATATGAACTCTAGACTCTTAAAAAAAAAAAAAAAAAGAAATCTAGACTCTTAGACATCCTCTGTAGTATATGCTTCAGACTTATGCTTTTCATCTTTTCTCTTACCCAAATACATTAACTTCAGGAAATCTAAAATTTCAAATATAATAGATTTTATAATTGGTCAAAATAAAAAGTTGCTTATGAAATCATTTCTGCTAACTTTCTAATATCTTTGCAATTTCTATGTGAAATTAATGTTGTATTTTTCATTAAAGGAAGTAAAGATACATTTCATTGTTTCTCTTAGACTATTTAATTTACTAATTAATTACTCAGTACCAGGTTGGCATAACCAAATCTGTAAAGGTATTTGGTAGAGAAAATGTTACGTACATACTGAAATTGTGGTTTCATCTGTATCTCCATTTTTAAAACATATATCAAATAGAAAAATGTATGATTCTGATGCCACTTACCTCCATTGTCCTTTAAACTTTGGTTTTACAATTACTTGCGAATTGTAACTTACTGATTGAAATGATAAGTGATGTTAAATTCAAGAGAGATGGTGGCTTATTTTGAGCCTTTTGTAGTCATTGATAACAATGAAAATGTATAACACTTTAAAACTGCAAAGGGAGAGGGAACTTAAATCTTTATAACCAAAAGATCTGGTAGACACCTCTGTACTCATCTGGTCATGATTAGCATTATTAGCAGACAGCCCGAGTTATGTGCCTGCTGGGGTGAAGCAGCATGAAGTATACCGCCTCACCAATGACATATTCTATCCTAAGAGCACTGCTCTAACCTAATCAAGATTTAACTTAGTTTTCAAGAATTGTAGGGCATAAATGAATAAGTGAAACTAGACAACCAGGAATTTATCAAACAGATCTCAGACAGTATCAGAGGAAAAAGAGGAGACAAAAATGATTACAATGATGACAGCAAAGAGGGAGATATTTCCTAAATCAGAAGACTTAAAAACCAAATGCATTGTGGACTTTTGGTAGGATTCTGGTTCAAAATACAATCAACTATTTAGAAGACATTTGAGGGACAGCTTGGTAAACCTGAATATGAATTGGATAGGAACTGATAGAGGGTATTATTGATTTTATTAGGTGTGGTAATAGTGTAGTGGTTATGTAAAAGGATGTTCATAATTTTAGCTGATTAAGGATAGCATCCTGGTGTCTTCAAATTTTTTTCAAATGGTTCAACATTAATATAGGTGTAAGGTAAACCAAATACAACAAAATATTAACAATGGTTGATGGTATATGAATAATCATGTTTTCTTTAGAAAAAATAAATTCTGTAGGTTCATAATAAAATAGGTAGGGCAGGATTTTATATTCTACTGGGAGGGGAAAAAACTCTCATGTTTTGCCCAGGATATAAAAAAATACCAATTCTTTGTGAAAGATCCACACTAGTCAAAGCCTAATATGCTGTTATAGATTTTCCCTCCTAGTCAAAGGAGAATCTATTGTAGAGATGATTTCACATGCAAACTTAAATAAAATTGACCAAGTTTAATATAAGTCTTTTACAGTGGAGAAAATTTGTTTTTTGGGGGGGGAGGGGAAAGCCAATGAAATTAGTTTGTGGTTATAGTAATAATTGAATTAAAAGGCTATTTTAAGATTATGATTTTCTTGTATCCGAAAGGTTCATTACAAAGACCTCCCCAGTCCTCTCAAAAAAAACTTTGTTGTAAATAGTATGAATTTTAATTTGAAGCTTCAGTAAACTCTGTTTTTCAATGATTTTAGAGCCAGAGAACAAAACAAAGTACAGTCCTTGCCCCGGTAATTGACCTAAAGCGAGGCGGCTCTTCAGATGACCGGCAGATTGTGGACACCCCGCCTCACGTAGCAGCTGGCCTGAAGGTAAGCCTGTCCTCTGACCTTGACAGTCTTTCCTGCTAACTGTATGTCTTATTTCATGCATATGTCACTTTGGGCACGGTCTTCAGTAGACATTTGCAGCCTAGTCAATATCATTTTCAACTTAGTTTTTACCTCTATTTTATCAAGTTTGAAACATTTAGCTATTTAAAATAGTTTATTACAGAAAAATCAGAAACTAGAGATATGCAAAAAGAAAAACAAATGACTTCAATCCTACCCAGAAGTTAAAAACTTTAGATTTTGGAATATCTTCCCATCTTATGCCTCCTCTACCTACTGTTTTCTAATTTACTTATTTTGCTTAATATATTGGGACTGTCCATCTCTGTAAAAAAGTATAGGACTGTAGCCGAAACCGGTTTGGCTCAGTGGATAGAGCATCGGCTTGTGGACTGAAGGGTCCCGGGTTCGATTCCGATCAAGGGCATGTACCTTGGTTGCAGGCACATCCCCAGTGGGGTTTGTGCAAAAGGCAGCTGATCGATGATTCTCTCTCATCGATGTTTCTAACTCTCTATCCCTCTCTCTTCCTCTCTGTGAAAAATCAATAAAATATATATTTTTTAAAAGTATAGGACTGTATATTTATCTTAATGGCTTTACGTATTTCCTTGTGAAAGTATACTGTAGTAAATTTTCTTAATGCTAGATATACAGTCCGTCCTTCCCCAATTTTTGCTATCATAAAGAATTTTAGTATTCATTTTTTTGTTGTGGATTAAAATAAGGACAATTCTACTGCCCTACCCTTTATTATCCCAATAATTTTGCATAAGCTTAAAAACCAAGAAATAGACATGGACAGTTCTGTAAATGGGTTGAGGATGAGGAAGATCTGGAAAAGGATAATTCCAAATCATAGTTAAAATTGCACAAAATTGGGGCAAATTAATTAAACATAATATACAGTTAAAATTACACCCACACTTATACATTTATTCTTCTATATATGGCATTCAAATAATATGACTGTGGTAGTTTATTTTTATTTTTTTAAATAAATCTTTATTGTTCAGATTATTACAAATGTGTTCCTCTTCCCCCCCTTAATTGATCCCCTTCCCCATCCCCCATTGTCCTCATCCACAGGTGCACAGTTTTTGTTCAGTCTCTTCCCACAGCCCCACTCCCCTTTTCCCTGAGAATCGTCAGTCCACTCCCCTTCCATACCTCTGATTCTATTATATTCAACAGTTAATATTGTTCATCAGATTTTTTAATTCCCTTGGTTTTTAGATTCACTTGTTGATAGTTACGTATTTGTTGTTCATAATTTTTATCTTTATCTTCTTCCTCTTCCTAAATAACCCCCTTCAGCAATTCATATAATTCTGGTTTGGAGGTGATGAACTCTTTTAGCTTTTTTTTATTAGTGAAGCTCTTTATCTGGTCTTCGATTCTGAATGATAGCTTTGCTGGATAGATTATCTTTGGCTGTAGGTTCTTGCTATTCATCACCTTGAATATTTCTTGCCATTCCCTTCTGGTCTGCATGGTTTCTGTTGAGAAATCAGCTGACAATCTTATAGGTGCTCCTTTATAGATAACTACCTGCTTTTCTCTTGCTGCTTTTAATATTTTCTCTTTGTCTTTTGCTCTTGGAATTTTAATTATGATATGTCTTGGTGTGGTCCTCTTTGGATTCCTTTTGTTTGGGGTTCTGCGGGCTTCCTGGACTTGTAAGTCTATTTCTTTCCCTAGGTGGGGGAAGTTTTCTGTCACTATTTCTTCCAGTATTCTTTTGGTATCTTGCTCTCTCTCTTCTTCTGGAATCCCCATAATTCTGATGTTTGTTCACTTGAAATTGTCCCAGAGGTTTCTTACACTATCTTCAACTTTCTGGATTCTCTTATCTTCTCGCTTCTGCAAAGGAGTGTCCTCTGGCTCTTTGTGTTCTAAATCTTTGTCTTGATTCTTGCGATCTTCCAGTCTGTTTTTAGGACTCTGTGTAATATTTTTTATTTCAGACAATGTTTTCTTCATTTCTAGTTGATTCCTTATTATTTCTAGTTGCTCCCTTTTCATATTCTCATAGGTCTCATTTATTTTATCGGCCTTTTTTTTAGGATATTGTTGAATAACCTTATAATTGTAGTTTTGAACTCAATGTCCATTCTTTTCTTTTCCTCCATCTCCTTCCTTTGTGTCCTTCCTTTTGTCTGCATTTTAGTTGTTTCCCTAATTTGATGGAATAGCTTTGTGTGCTAGGTGTTCTGGTAGAGCCCAGTAGCACAGCTTTCCCAGTTACCTGCGGTGGACAGTCTTGGTGTAGCCCTTTGTGGGCTGTGTGTGCAGTCTTGTTGTTAAACTTTGCTTATTGTTGGTATCACTGGGATGCGTTGATCTCCAAACCAATTGGCTGTGAGAATCAGCAGTGTCTCAGCTAGGAAGGCTTCTGTACTCCACTAGGATAGGGTGGGGTCTTGGGGTGGCACAGACAATCTTTGGTTCCCTGTCAGTCTCGCCTTAGAAAAGTCCTGTTCGCGGAGAGTTTCGGAAGATTGGTTGCAGGCGTGTGCACCTCTTTGGTAAAGGCACAGACAAGCTTTGGATTCTGGCTAGTCCCTCCTTAGAGAAAGCCAGCCTCTGGGAGAGCTTCTGTGCTCAGCCACAGATGGGGCGGAGTCTCAGGTTGGTGCAGACAAACTTTGTTTTCCCTTTGGCTCCTCCCCAAGTCCTGCAGTAATGGCCTCTGGCTTTACACACCTCGGAGAGATCTCTGCTCGCTGCCTGACAGTCTGGCCTCTCTCTGTCTGGGGCCGTCTATCAGAGCAATAGGCTGATTCTATTTTCCTCTTGAACAAGAAAGCCAGCCAAGCGTTAGCTGTCCGCCCTCTCCTTGTGCCAGGAGTAAGCCAGCGCCTTTTCGTGCACACAGTTCTCTGTACCTTCACAGTTCCTGAGGTTCAGCGTGCCTTCTCTCTCCTTCCCAGACGGCAGAGCCTCCTTTCAGCTAGCCGTCCGGCGCTTCAGGGCACTGCCTCCCCTGTTTTCCAGTTCTAAATTCAAATTTGTTGTGGTAGGCTGCATTCGGTTGTCTACCCTATGCCGCCATCTTGGTTTTCTCTCATGACTGTGGTAGTTTAAACATACCAGGCGCACAGGTTGCTTGATGAGAAATGACCAAAGGTTAATGATAGAATATGCTATTATTGGTGACTATTTCTTAGCAAGGTACTCTTCCTACCACCCTCTTCCTCCTTACCTCCCCCCCCCCCAAAAGCTGCATGCCCCTTCCCTTTATTTAGTTTCTCATCCTCCTCAGTTTTGACTGTTCAGGTTTGAAATTCTTTTGATCCCCCACTTTGCTTTTATTCTCAGGCACAGCATAGCTGAAGCTCTTGGTAGGATTTCTTGGCTGGAAGAACTGACACTACTACAAGCTAATAGTCTATATAGAGGGACAGGCACCCCACAGTGAAGTGGGAGGCCCAGGTGGAGGTGCTCTGTGGGGGGGTTCTTAGTTACTTAACATTTTTCCCACAAATTCATCATCTAAGTTTTTCTAGTTTTATCTATTCAGAAGCTGATTCCTCATCTTCTGTTATTGTATATTGATTCTAGAACCTATAATGTTTCCACCCCCAAATATCTAATAAATAAGCATTTTTTCATGTTATGTGGTTTTCATAACCAGTTTTAGTTTTTTTAGTTTTAGTAGTTTTTAAATTATGAACCTGGCAGGGTTCATAACCAATTGTTTAAAGAACAAATACTTTTTTGATGTTAGAGAGGAAGGGAGAGAGAAAGAGAAACAGTGATGTGAGAGAGAGAAACATCTATTGATTTGCCTCTTACTAGTACACGCACCCCAACCAGGGATCAAACCCCTAGGCATGTACCTTCATCGAAAATTGAACCCACCGCCTTTTGGTGCATGGGGACAACATTCAACCAATGGAGCCACACCAGCAAGGGCATAACCAATTTTTAATTGTAAAGTATTTCCATGAAGTGAATGTATTGTAACTTATATAAGTGTTTCCTAACTTTAGAACCAACTAGACCTGCTTTTATGTTGTCATTATAAATAACACTGTAATGCCCAGCTCCATAGAGTGCTCTCTATGCGTGTAAAATTATTTTCTTAGGATAGACTTCCTGAGGTGGCATTAAGAAATCAGTAATTTTCATTGCCAATTTGTGTGTGTGTGTGTGTGTGTGTGTGTGTGTGTTTTAAAAATTGTATTTTTATTGATTTCAGAGAGAAAGGGAGAAGGTAGAGAGAGAGAAACATCAATGATGAGAGAGAATCACTGATCGGCTACCTCCTGCATGCCCTCTACCGGGGATTGAGCTCACAACCCCCAGGCACGTGCCCTTGACTGGAATCGAACCTGGGGCAGGCCGATGCTCTATCCACTGAGCCAAACCAGCTCTGGCTGCTTTATTCTCTGTAGCATTTAAAGAAGGATGGCTCATTGTTAAACTTAGCAGGGTTTTTTGTTTGTTTTTAATATTTTTATTGATTTTAGAGAGGAAGGAAAAGGGAGAGAGATAGAAACATCAATGATGAGAATCATTGATTGGCTGACTCCTGCATGCCTCCTTCTGGGGATTGAGTCCGCAATCCAGGCATATCAGCCAAACCAACTAGGGCAGTGGTTGGCAAACTCATTAATCAACAGATCCAAATATCAATAGTACTATGATTGAAATTTCTTTTAAGAGCCAAATTTTTAAAACATAAACTTCTTCTAACGCCACTTCTTCAAAATAGACTCGCCCAGGCCTTGGTATTTTGTGGAAGAGCCACACTCAAGGAGCCAAAGAGCCATATGTGGCTCTCAAGTTGCAGTTTGCCGACCATAGGACTAGAACAAAGGTTCTTCTTATATTAGTTTTGTGTTCAAAATGAAATACATTTTACAACCTTTCTGCCTTTGATAGTATTGGGCAGTGTGCCTTCTGGAAGAGATGCAGAATGGGCACTCAACAATACTAGTCCTAAGCTATGTTTGTCTTAGGTGCCTGTGGAGACCAATTAAAGCCTCTTATTTTTAGGGATAATAAGAAAGTACATTAGATTGGAGCTTCTCAGAATCAGATAGGGATTAAGAACACCAACCTAAGGTAAAGTCTCATTTCTAATCATGTATCTTCTAGTTAGCTGTACTGTCTGCCTTTTGTCTTTCTGATTTCTTAGTTAAGACTACCTTTTTTCTTTCAAAGAGTAAGAAGCTCCAGTTTCTAAATATTTAGAAGAGAAATGCATAATCTATCATCTGAACCTGATCTTAGTAGACCTTAAAAAAAAGTAATGCGCCTGGCCAGTGACCTCAGTGGTTGTCAACCTAAGAACCAAGAGGTCATCGCACATGCCCAGGTGGCAGGCTGGATCCCCAGTGGGGGGTGTACAGGAGGCAGCCGATTCATGTTTCTACTTTCCTGTCCTTCTCCCTTCCTTCCTTGTTAAAAAAAATCAATAAAAACACATGTAAAAAAAAATTAATGAAAACATGAAGAGAATGACATCCATCTGTGTCATAATCGGCACAAGAAGTGCTGTCTACCAGGGAAGGGGTGTATTCCAGAGCATTTCACAAAGCCCAAGAGGCCCTGGACCGAGTTAGAGAGCATCAGCGCAAGCACCTATAGGTTTCAGGTTAGATTCCCAGTCAAGGGGCATGTACTTGGGCTGCAAGTTTGGTCAAGGTGCGTGCAGAAGGCAACCAGTCAATGTGTCTCTCTCATATCAATGTTTCTTTCTCCTCCACTTCCCTCCTTCCCTCCACTTTCTCCCCTCCCTTTTACTCTCTAAAAAAATCAGTGGGAAAAATATCTTCAGAATATTAATGACCAAAAGAATGATTGTTATTTATGGGTTGTTTGGTCTTTAAGTTTTCACTGAGATATATAAAAACAGAAGTATTCATTATATACTATAAATAACCAAAATTATTACTTAAAAGTAGTGGCAGTTTGGAAATTTCAGAAAAGTACCATAGGATATTTATGGAATTAACACTGAACTAAATTCATTATCATGGTTTTGCTGCTTCCTGGTGAGTTGTGTGACCATCTCAAGTCATTAAACCTCCTTAGACATTTGTTCCCTCATCTATAAAACAAAAGAGGCATGTAGATGTCATCAAGTCTCCTTCCAACCTTCATATTCTTTTACTTGAATTCTAAAATTTTAAGACACGAGAATGATACCTTGGCATTTTTATCTTCCTCAGGATCCTGTACCCAGTGGATTTTCTGCAGGAGAAGTTTTGATTCCCTTAGCTGATGAATATGATCCTATGTTTCCTAATGATTATGAGAAAGTAGTGAAGCGCCAAAGAGAAGAACGACAGAGACAGCGGGAGCTGGAAAGACAAAAAGAAATAGAAGAGAGAGAAAAGTAAGGCTTGTTTGGAATCGGGGCTATTTTATATTTGAAATATTTATTATAATGTTAATGAATGAACTTCATTGCTGTCTGTAAAGATGAAATTAGTTTTTATGAAGTTAGTTTTTTAACATCTCAGCATTAAAACAAAAAATATAGTCTAGAGCAAAGTTCATGTATAGATGCAGAAAACTTAAAAGTATGTATTTTGGGTGAGTTATTAGAAAAGTACCTTAGAACAACTTTAACCTGTTGTTGAATAATAGTTTCTTTCCTTTGCTATGACTCTTCAGTAGTCAGCTATTCAAAATAACTTAAATTGACCCTCGTGACTGTGGCTAAATTGGTTGACCCTCTTCCTATGTACCAAAAGGTCACTGATTCAATTCCCTGTCAGACTATATGCCCTGGTTTCGGGTTTGGTTCCTAGGCCAGGTGTGTATGGGAGGCAACTAGTTAATATTTCTCTCTCACACTGATGTTTCTCTCCCTCTCCCTTCCTTCCTTTCTTCAAAACAAACAAACAAACAAACAAAAAACAATAAAAACATTAAAAAGTAAGCTGATATTTTTAAAAAATCACAAACTAAAAATAAAATACTCAAATTGTTATCTTTTTAATTATTTTTGTGCCAGATAGAAATTTTTTAAAACATGCATCTTTTAAAAAGTAAATAAATAAATAAAATATATGTTTATTTTTATTGATTTCAAAGGGGAAGGGAGAGATAGAAACATCAGTGACAGAGAATCATTGATTGGTTACTGCCTGCATGCCACCCCTACTGAGGATCAGGCCACAACCCCAGCATGTCCCCTTGACCATACCTATGTTGATATGCTTTAAAATTGAAAGAGGTAAATACCAAGTAAACTTTTGTCTTGCTACTTATATACCCATTAAATGTGTTCAGTTCATCTTCTGGTTTTCCTCACTCGTCATACTTGCGCTACTTTAGTCTTCAATCAGTTGTTTTCACACAAACCCGTCTTTCCATTAATAGTTTAGTGTGAAAGAGAGGATTTGGATATTTTCTAGCTAAGATAAAGTCAAGGTGATATCCTTGAGTTCACATCTCTATATTGGCTCATCTGTAATGAATATGAGTTCTTTTATTATCACAGGAGGCGTAAAGACAGACATGAAGCCAGTGGGTTTTCAAGGCGACCAGATCCAGATTCTGATGAAGATGAAGATTATGAGCGAGAAAGGAGAAAAAGAAGTAAGGCATGAACATAAATACTTTATTTCCAACATGGTGCAATTCCACTATTTGCTTTTCATATTCAATTTGATATAGTTCAGTTGACATTGACTTAGGTAATTTTCTCTCTAGAATTCCAGCAATCCACATTTGCATAGTCTTAATTTGTATTGCATTTTTATGTATATTCTCTTTTGAGCTTCCCACCCACTTTCTAATAGTTATTAAGTAGATACTTTGAGCATAGCTTGAAATATATACACATACTTTTCTTTACTTGTAGCATAGTCACACTGACCTATTCTCTATATCCAGCTTCATTGCTGTTAAGCATTGAATGGACAAAGCATTCGTTTCCGGAAAGTTTGTCACTGACATGCATGAATCTGAGGATATCATTTAGCTTCCCTGGATGTAGGTTTCTTTCAACGTCATCTGAAGAGCAGGAAGATAGAGAATTTGAACTAGTCAATAAGGCCCCTTGTAGTTCTAAAATTTTACAAGCTGAATTATAATTGAGTTAAGACTAAATCCTTAGTGATTACTAGACAGTTAAGTGTTTGTTCTTGGGAGAATGTAATGTTTCTTATTTTAGCTTCATCATGCTCACCCTCAATTGCCCCCCCTGCCAGCCTGATTGCCCCCAACTGTCCCCCACTGCTGGCCTGCTCACCCCCAACTGCCCCCACCCTTTGCCAGTCTGATCACCCCCAACTGCCCTATCCTCTTGGCCTGATTGCTCCTAACTGCCTCTGTCTTAGCCCCGCCACCATAGTTTTGTCTGGAAAATCTCCCAGTCTAATTAGCATATTACCCTTTTATTAGTACAGATTCTAGGGTTCTTAAATGCCAACTATAAAAAAAATAATTGTGTTTGTCTGGCTTTTTCATTTTCTACATTTTTAATCCTAGATTTAGATATTAAGTTCTTTAGATATTAGCTGGAGGGATGAAGTAGCAGTTCTATCTCCCTCCCATCCTCCTTTCCTCCCTCTGTTCTCTCCTCCCCCTCCCCCTTACTTCTCTCTCCTCCCTTTTTCCTTCTTCCCCTCCCTCCCTCTCATTCTCTCCCCTCTCTACTTCCTCCCTCCTTCTTTCCTTCCTTGTGGGATAGGACAAATTATGGGGAAGTATGGAACTTGGTTGGAACATCTATAAGAAAGAATCTCCGAAAAGTCAGGGCCTCCAGGGGGCCTGCCTTGACTTTTCCAAACAAGTCTGAGCCCCCAGGTGTTTTATTGGAATCTTTATGTTTAGTCTTTAGACACCCTTGCTTAAAGGACACTGCAGATGCGTTTTCTCAAGGATACTGAGAAAGGATATCCTACTGTTATCTCAAGGATATCTTGCTAATAGTATCTAGAAAGGGTACCCAGGGATACCCTGCTGATACCTCAAGTATGCTTACCCTGCTGATAGTATCTATTATAGAAGTTAATTTTAGTTCAAGTTGTTGCTACAATAAAAGCCTAAGGAGGCAGGTGAACAGGGCTGTTTGGTTTCTCAAGCCAAGCAGTACCTTAGCGTTTTCTTTCACAGAAATGTGTGCCAGAGTAATCATTTGTTCGTCACTCATGGTCTGCCAGACAGCCCCGGTAACAAATGGTATATATCATAGTCTTTGAGAGTCTGGCATCTAAAACGTTCCTTTAATCAGTGGAATTTTATATTTTTGCAGGTATGGGCGGAGCTGCCATCGCACCACCCACTTCTCTTGTAGAGAAAGACAAAGAGTGTATGTATCTATGTCTTCCCTTCTTTTATTTTGATACAAATCTTTAACCCAGCCATGGCCAGTCTTAGCGTCTATCAACCAGGTTTCCTGAATATAAAGGGAAATTGCTCCAAAGCCTGTCTTCTGGCCTGAACCCTGAGGCCCAGTGTGGATCCTTGAGACTGCTGTTCCCTTTCATTCCTTATACTTTAGAAGTTTTAATGCCAGGTTCTGAGACTTGGGTTTTTATACAGTGGTGTGCTTTTTTGTTGTTGTTTTAATATATTTTTTACTTGTTTATAGTATTACAAATATCTCCTATTCTCCTTCCCCTTTATCCCGTCCTCCCAGCCCCTACCCTCCTACTCCCACCCTAGGTTTTTACTACCCTATTGTCTGTGTCCATGAGCTATGCATATAAGTATATAAGTTCTTTGGTTTATCTCTTTTCGTCCTACTGTTGTTAAATGTATTTTATTGATTTTTTTTACAGAGATGAAGGGAAAGGGAGAGAGAGTTAGAAACATCGATGAGAGAGAAACATAAATCAGCTGCCTCCTGCACACCCCCTACCAGGGATGTGCCTGCAACCAAAGCACATGCCCTTGACTGGAATTGAACCTTGAATTCGTAGACCGACTCTCCACTGAGCCAAACCGGTTAGGGCTACTGTTGTTGTTTTTAAATTCACTTTGTCTTCTCCAACATTTCATATTTGGAGTTAGGCTAAAACAATAATAGCTCCTCCCTCAGTTTACAATTTGTGTTTTAGAGGCTGTTAGTACATGGCCTTCCACAAGGTGGCAGTATCTTCTTGATTAGATTTTCGCCTATTAGTTTTGATTTCATCTCACAGGTTGTATGCTTTCACTTTCCTTGCCAGAACACCCCACCCGCTATTTCTTTTCTCAGTGATCTGTTCTAGGAATTGATCTGTTCTATATCATCTAGGTCATTTTCCTATCCTTTGGGTTGGACCATACCTATACTATCCCAAGAAAATATAAACATCCCTAATGCTTTTTAATACCTGTTACACTATATATGTTATCTTTTTAAAGAAGATAATTTAAAAAGTTTTGTTAAATATCTTTTGTGTAAAAACACCTAGCAAATCATAAACCCAATTGAAGCCAGTCCATTTTTTTTTTTTTTTAAGCTTCCTTGTTGAAAATTATTGCTATAGCTAGGTTTGAAAACCACTGCTCTGGTACATGGTCCGTAAACCCAGTGACCTTTATTTTGTGCTAGGCTAATGAAATAGATTAGAGTCCAACGACAGGTATACAAGATGCTATGGGAATCAAAAGAGATTTCATTTGGATCTATCTGGAACATACAAAACTCTTAAGCATTCAGATAAAAATTGTCATTTAGAGCACTGTTAAAGGATAACATTTTAGTACGGTATAAAAAGGACATTTAAGATAACAGCTGGAACAAAGCTAAAATTAGAAAAATGGTACTGTACCTCTATAATTTTAAAAAGCTCTGTAGAAGCTGTAAAATGGATTTTGTTTTTTCTCCTTATAGTAAACTAAAAATTGCAGTAAAATTGCAGTTCAAAATAACTGATTTATACAAGTGCAGTTTGGAATTTTTTTTGTAGTATTTTGGTAAACCTATTTTATTTTTATCCAATAGTACCCCGAGAATTTCCTTATGAAGAGGAGTCAAGACCTCGTTCCCAGTCTTCGAAAGCTGCCATTCCTCCCCCTGTGTATGAGGAACAGGAGAGACCCAGATCTCCAACAGGCCCTGGCAACTCCTTCCTCGCCAACATGGGGTAATGGTCCAACTGCTGTCGTCTTGGCAGGTGTAAGAAGGACGAGACTCATTGTGTAGGGTTGGCAGCCCTATCAGTAGATACAGCTTATTTGAAAGTGAGGGCATTCTGCAGTTGTAGGAAGATGCTTGGTGTGTTTAGTCACACAGTGTCATTCTTGAGAATATGAGTAACGTGGAGGGTATTGCAGCACAATGCTATCATATTCTATACAAAACAAAGCCTTCAGATGTAAGTTTCAGATGATTTCATTGCTGAACATTATATTCTCTAGGTAGAAACAGTTTTTCATAATTATTTACATATATTTTCAAAACATTTGCAAGTAAAATGTGGCTTATGAATTATGACTTATACTATTTCCAAAAGGTGAATGACATCTTTATTTTTTTTTTTATAAAATGGCCATTTGCTTTAAGGTCATGGTTCTGTACCTTTGGCTCTAAAAACTTAAGTCATTCAAACTATAATTAGACTGTTTGCCTGCATGTAAAAATCAATTTTAAGATTGACTTTCAGGTGTGGCTTGTAGAATTTAAAATCCCCACTGGATTTGCTGTGCATTTTGGTTAAAACATGTTTTATGTTTACTTTGTTTCTTTCACGCAATGAGAGACTATCAAATGAAATTGCATTACACTAAGGCCTTTGTTCTATGTTCTCTTCTGCCTATGATAGAAATATTGTGACCATAGTAATCACACTGATCTGCCCTCGCCTATGAGCATATACTTTGATTCTTAGAGCGCTTGAGAAGTGACTATTAAAGAGTTGGAGTAAATGGCTGGGGTTCCCGCATTGCTAGAGGATTTTGAGTTTTTGACCTTGGGATTGATTTCCCAGACTTGTGTTCTCTATGGTAACTACTAGCCAAGGTTGGCTATTAATTTAAAATGAATACAATTTAAAATGTTGTTCCTCAATCACTGGTCTCATCTCAAGTGCTCAATAACCACACAAAGCTAACAGCTACCCTATTGGTCAGTCCCCATCAAGGTCCATTGGGCTGCTCTAGAATGTATGCTGGAAGGTGGATAGAAATGAAACTGTTGTGTTTTTTCCTGCTGATGATAAAAATTGCAATAAGTAAATATCTTCTGAATCCCTCTTTAAACAGGAATTCAGTCTTTAACTAATGCTGGAGAAAGATGTAGTGCAGTGCAATTCAGCAGTTTCAGTCTTTTCTTTTTAGTCCTAGAACAGTTTCAAATGAAATTTTAAAGGAAATCACATAAACATGAAGTAATGTACGTGTAATTCTAGTTGAAGCAGGGTTTTGTGGTTCAAACCTTGAGTAGCAATGGTCACTGGGGACACTCTTGAGACCTGTGAGGCATCCCCAAGTGCAATAGGTATTAGAGAAAGAGCAGTGAACTGAGAACGAATTTTGGGTTCCAATTTCAATTTTACTGTTAATACGTATAGAAATAACTTCTAACATTATGTCTTGTTTTTGTTTCTAATCAGCTTTAAGCTAGCCTAGTTGACTAATCTGGGCTTCAGTTTATTTTCCCATCGATTAAGTAGATGATCTCTAGGATCTCTTTATAAAATCTGTTATTGTAAACTCTATTTAAAAAAATGCAGTAATTTCCATCATGAAACTATACTTTTTGACAGGCACGTTTTAATTTTTTTATTTTTATGGCTTTAAAATAATCTTTATTTTTCTATTGCAATTGACATACAATATTATATTAGTTTCAGGTGTACACCCCAGTGATTAGATATTATGTATTACTAAGTGATAACCCCCCAAAAAATCTAGTACCCCTCTGACACCATACATAGTTATTGAAATATTATTGACTATTTCTTATGCTGTACTCTACATCTCCATGACTATTCTGTAACTACCAATTTGTGCTTCTTAATCTCTTTACCTTTTTCACCCATTTCCCCAAATCTCTTCCCATCTGGCAAAAAGTTCTCTCTCTATATATATGTATATCTGTTCTGCTTATTTATTTTGTTCTTTAGATTCCACATATACCTGTAAGTGAAGTCATTATATGGTATTTGTCTTCCTCTGATTTATTTCACTCAGCACAATGCCCTGTATGTCCATCATGTTGTTGAAGATTACAAGATTTTATCATTTAACCCAATTATTGATAGTTACTTATTGCCATTTTATTCATTTTTTTTTCTTTCTTTTCTGAAAGAAGACCCTTTAACATTTTTTGTAATACTGGTTTGGTGGTGATTAACTCATTTAGCTTTTTCTTGTCTGGGCAGCTCTTTATCTGTCCTTCATTTCTAAGTGATAGCTTTGCTGGGTAGAGTAATCTTAGTTGTAGATCCTTGCTTTTCATCAATTTGAATAGTTCTTACTAGTCCTTTCTGACCTGCAAAGGTTTTGTTGAAAAAGCAGCTGACAGTCTTGTAGGAAGGAGCTTCTTTGTAGATAAATGCTTTTCTCTTGCTGCTTTTTAGAGATTCTCTCTTTGTGTTTAATCTTTGGCATTTTAATTATGATGTTCCTTGGTGTGGGTCTTTTTGAGTTCATCTTGTTTGGGGTTCTCTGTGCTTCCTTGCCAGGTACATTTTTTTTTTTTTTACAAAATTTTATTGTTCATATTATTACAAATGTTCCTTCCCCCTTGCCCCCCATTGCTCTCCTCCACCAGGTTCCCACCCCACCCTCTGTCCTTTCCCCACTCCCCATTGTCCTCATCCATAGGTGCACAGTTTATGTTCAGTCTCTTCCCACACCCCCCTCTCCCCTTTTCCCCAAGAATCATCAGTTCACTCCCCTTCCATACCTCTGATTCTATTATATTCAACAGTTAATATTGTTCATCAGATTTTTTTTAATTTCCTTGGTTTTTAGATTCACTTGTTGATAGTTACGTATTTGTTGTTCATAATTTTTATCTTTATTTACTTTCTCTTCCTAAATAACCCCCTTCAGCAATTCATATAATTCTGGTTTGATGGTGATGAACTCCTTTAGCTTTTTTTTATTAGTGAAGCTCTTTATCTGACCTTCAATTCTGAGTGATAGCTTTGCTGGATAGATTATCTTTGGCTGTAGGTTCTTACTATTCATCACCTTGAATATTTCTTGCCATTCCCTTCTGGCCTGCATGGTTTCTGTTGAGAAATCAGCTGACAATCGTATAGGTGCTCCTTTATAGGTAACTACCTTCTTTGCTCTTGCTTCTTTTAATATTCTCTCTTTGTCTTTTGCTCTTGGAATTTTAATTATGATTTGTCTTGGTATGGTCCTCTTTGGATTCCTTTTGTTTGGAGTTCTGTGTGCTTCCTGGACTTGTAAGTCTAATTCTTTCCTCAGGTGGGGGAAGTTTTCTGTCACTATTTCTTTCAGTATGTTTTCGATATCTTGCTCTCTCTCATTTTCTGGGACCCCCATAATTCTGATGTTGGTTCGCTTGAAGTTGTCCCAGAGGTTTCTTACATTATCTTTAATTTTCTGGATTCTCTTGCCTTCTAGCCTCTGTGGAGGAGTGTCTTCTGGCTCTTTATGTTCCAAATCTTTGACTTGATTCTTGCGATCTTCCATTCTGATTTTAGGACTCTGTATAATATTTTTTATTTCAGATAATGTATTCTTTATTTTTTGTTGATCCTTTATCATTTCTTGTTGATTCCTTATTAATTCTAGTTGATCCCTTTTCATATCCTCATAGGTCTTATCGATCTTTTCTAGGAAATTCTTGAAAAACCTTATAAGCGTAGATTTGAATTCTATATCCAGTCGCTTTTTGTCCTCCATTTCTTTTGTTTGTGATCTATTTTGTCTCGGCATTTTCACAGCTTCCCTGATGGGGCGGGGTTTCAGGGTGGAGCCTACTGCTTTGGCTTCCGTCAGCCCTGCCCTATGCGGCTCTGGGTCTCAGGGTCCTTCAATACTCCTTGCAAGTGGACAGGCACATTTTAAAAGTAAATTGTGGTCATAAGACATACATCAATGAATGAAATCTGAAGAACAATATAAATATAAACAAACAAAACAGACACATTCATAGATATGGAGAACAGACTGATGGTTGCCAGAGAGAAGGTAGAAAAGTAAAGGGATTGAGAAATACAGATTGGTAGCTACAAAATAGTTATGGGGATATAAAATACATCATGGGAAATATAGTCCATGATATTGTAATAATTATGTGTGGTGCCAGTTGGGTACTGAAAATTTCTGGGGAACCACTTTGTAAAGTACATGATTATCTAACCAATGTGTTGTATGCCTGAAACTGATACAAAATAATATTAAATGCAAACTGTGATTGAAAAAAAATATTTCTATAGCAGTGCAGAACACATAGGAACGCTAATGTTTTGTAACAGAGGTACTGGGGAAATTTCATTAGAAAAACTAATATTTCCCTTACCTTAAAGATAATCTCAGGGTGTCCAATATTTTTTATATATCTTTCATTCTGAACATCCCCACAACTTCATCTAATGGCCTGTTGTTAATTATGTGTGACCTCATCAAAGCCCTTGTAGAATTTCTATTCTCCTTTCCAGAAGGAAAGTGTTATGATATAAAATTCAATTTATGCTATAGCTGATGACCTTAAGTGTAAAGGACCTTCCTTTTTTCTTCTTCCCAGTGGCACTGTAGCACATAAAATCATGCAGAAGTATGGCTTTCGGGAAGGCCAAGGTCTTGGTAAGCATGAGCAAGGGCTGAGCACGGCGTTGTCGGTGGAGAAGACAAGCAAGCGAGGAGGCAAGATCATTGTGGGCGAAGTCACAGAGAAAGGTGGGTCTTCCCCAGAAGCCGTGAGAGATGCATTCTAGAGGCAGAGGACTGGCCTTCTTGAATAGAATAAGAGAATTTCTGATTATGATGCATTCCAATTCTGTGTTGTGGTTCATCATCTTTATTTGTTCAGAATAGATGTAGAGATAGGAAGGCCCATGGGAAGAAAGATAATGACGTTGGCAGAAAATGAACAGTACCCAAGAAAATAAGTTCATGGCTACTTCTACTAGGCAAATAATCCTGTTAAATTGATAAGATCAGAGTTACGTGTTTTGTTTTTTAAAAAAATATATTTTTATTGATTTCAGAGAGGAAGGGAGAGAGAGAGAGAGAGAGAGAAACATCATTGATGAAAGAGAATCATTGATTGGCTGCCTCCTGCATGCTCCCCTATGGGGATTGAGCCCACACCCCGGGCATGTACACTTGACTGGAATCGAACACAGGGATCCTTTAGTCCCCAGGCCGAGCCAAACTGCCTAGGGCTATGGTTATATGTTTATAGCATGAAAGAGCCATATATAATACATTAGTGATTATATCTGCTATATTCCAATTTGTAAGGGTTCTTATTGGTAAATTATGCCTAGTTTGTGTTTTATTTTTGTTTTCTCAGTACACACCTTTAGTAAGTAGCCAATCATCCTAGAGCCACCCTGATTTGTTGGAATATCTGCAGTTAGCCAGTGGCTGGCTAATTAACTGCTTATTATATTGGACTAGTGACCTTTGACCACTTTCCAAGCCAAGACTCTCACGTATAAGGGTTGGAATTGATATGCTCTGTCAACCCCTTAGGAAGTGAACTAAGCAAAAATTCTAGGTAACCAGGGAAGCTAAAAATTTCCAGAAATTACAGTAAAAACCTATACCAAAGCAAAGCATATGCTTTCATTACAGATAGGGCTATATATTTTTTCTCAGCCATAGCTGATTATAGATGACTCCAGGACATAAGAGGGTTGCTATTAAAAATAAATTATTCATTGTAACTTGAACTTACTGCTATAATATATCTATATCTCATTGTTTTATTTTTCTACAGATGCAGCTAAGAAGTCAGATTCAAATCCATTAACTGAAATACTTAAATGTCCTACTAAAGTGGTCCTACTAAGGGTAAGAAGCCAAAGGAAACAACCTGTTTACCCACTTTGATTTATTGTCACTCCACCCTGACCTATTCCTGTATGCTTTCAGCACCACTGATACCGTGATACAGTGTTTACCAAACTTTTGACATATGTGTACCCCTTCTATAGTTTTCATAACGCTGAGCACCCCTCGTACTCATGAGAACGTAGAATTAGGCGCATCTAAGCACAGTGCAGTACATATCCCCACCAAACTCCATTGCAATTCTACCCCCACCAAACTCTTCCCGTACCCCTGGGGGTACATGTACCACACTTTGGGAAACACTGCTGAAACTGAAAATACTTTTGCAAATGATATTTTTGGATAGACTCCACATAAAACTAATAGAATTTTTTACTAATGATTCTTTGCTAAATATAATATTTAAGACAATAGTGATTGCTTTAAAATATTTGAAATTATTAGATGTTTATCTTAATTTATGTATTTTGATGGTTGCATAATTGCTCTTGTAAATCTATGGAGTTTAGTGTATGTATATTTTTTTTTAAAAGAAATAATTTTGGGGGATTACAGGGATGAAATTTTCATTGTGTTATTTGAGATGGAGAGAATTTACTACCATAAAATTATTTGTACATCTTATTTATATAATAATAAATTATACTTGATACTTGAATTTTTTAATTTTTGTTTATAGAACATGGTTGGTGCAGGAGAGGTAGATGAAGACTTGGAAGTTGAAACCAAGGAAGAGTGTGAAAAATATGGCAAAGTTGGAAAATGTGTGATATTTGAAGTAAGAGAGTTTTCTTTAGATGTTTATAAATTGTTTTGATTGACAGGTTACAAAACATTTTCTACAAATAGAGATGTGTGCTTGCTTAAATAACATATTGTCTTACTATGGAGGTGACAGGTGTTGGTTATACTTCTCTTACTAATTATAAAATTTTTAAACATAAAAACAAGGAGGACTTCAAATTTTATTTGGAGAAGAAATAAACATTTCATTTTATGATTGAAGTTAGTTTGATAATTAAATATTAATACTTTGATTATAATATGCTCAGTAGTTTAGTTTCTTGGACATGCCTTTGGTTTCATTCATTTGACAAGTATATATTTAGTGCTTCTCATATATCCAATACTGTATTGAGAGCATTGGGGATGTTCTGTGCTCTCAGTGATATGTCAAGTTGAAACAACAAAACAAACACATATAAAAATAGACAATATTTTGTTGCTAGATTCAATAGTTATTGACTATAAGTACTGGAGTTGAGAAAAGGATTTAGATTAAAAACAACATCGGAAGATTTTGTGACAATATCAGATGCCAGCTGAGCTTTGAAATGAATGGGTAGGATTTGGATAGGTGGAAAAGATATTTAGATTAGGGTTACAGCTTCTGTGACAAGGGATACAAAATGGAATGGTTGGGCATGTTGGGGATTAGCAGGAGACATGTTTACATAGGTGGAATAGGACCATATGCAAAGCATAGAGAGTATGACAAAGGAATTTAATCTATAATGAGAGGCAGTTAGAATACAAATCTTTTTTTTTTTTCTTAAATTTCTGCTCTCACTTTTGCTTCCTTTCTATATCATATTGCCATTTGTTGACCATATAATTATTTGTTTACATGTCAGCTGGCATAGGACCTTTATAAGACCAGACTATTCTACTTAGTTGTGTATTCCCAGTACCTAATACTGTGCCTGTCATAAACAGATCTTCAACAAATTTTTTATGCCAATTTATAGTTATTTCCTTGGTATTTGACATATATGATGATAATTGACACACTCTGATAGAAATCATTAACAGAAGAAAACTCATATTTAGTGATATCTCAAATATCTATTATACTTTCATTTTTTCCAGATTCCTGGTGCCCCTGATGATGAAGCAGTACGAATATTTTTAGAATTTGAGAGGGTTGAATCAGCAATTAAAGGTAAGTTGTACAACTAAATGTAAAGATAAAAAAGTTGAAATTATGATCTTGTTAGAATTAAAACATGTTCTTGTAATGTCTTAAAAAGAATCTGTATTAACTGACTGTCTTTTTGTTTGCTTTTTAGCTGTCGTTGATCTGAATGGGAGGTATTTTGGTGGACGGGTAGTAAAAGCATGTTTCTACAATTTGGATAAATTCAGGGTGTTGGATTTGGCAGAACAAGTTTGATTTTAAGAACTAGAGCACGGGCCACAAGCTGCAAGCTGAGCAGAGAAGAAAAAGGCGACAGCCAGTCTGCATGGCTGGGTACAGAGACTCTTGAAAGGACTGCTAAGATAAATGTTGATTAATCCCTTTTTTATTTTGTGTTTTTTTTAATATAGTATAAAAATCCTTTAAAAAAAAAAACACGAATATGTGTGCCTCTCTGGTTGTTTCTCTTTCTTATTACAACTTCTGGGTAATTAACTTCTTTTTGGCTAGGATTTTATGATAATTCTCAAGTGTTCCAGAGATACAGCATTTCTTGCACTAAAAATAGCTAGAAAGTTCTGAGATATGGGGTTGTATTAAGTTATCCTTTGCATTTCTTTCATTTTTTTTTCTTTTTTTGATTCTTTTTAATAAAACTTGCAAGTTACTGTAGTTTCATAAATTCTATAATAAACTACATCTTGGCAGTCTGCCAAAGGTGAAAATGTTTGCTTTCTCTAACAGAGAAATTCTTATTGATTCCGGTCATAGAAAAAAAGTCTTTAAGACCCGAACTATGGTTAAAGAATTGTGAACCTACCATGACCTGTTTGGATGAATCATTTCGATTAAACTAAGTCAGACTGTAGGGTTTGTGATGGACTTAGGATTTAGAAATCATGAACCTAGCAATTCTAGCATAGTGTTCAGGATAGATCAGAAATGGCAAGTTAATTCAAAACCTCACGGGTACATTGTAGATGCCCATAATGTTTTGGAAATGGTGGTTCTTTGGAGTCACATTGGCAGTAGTGTTAGTTATTATATATATTTTAAAATTTATAAAGTTCAGCCACATCAGCTACTTAAACGGTACTGCCAATTAATATAATTCCATAGTTATGAAAATTGTACCATTGAAGTACAGTGGTATGTGTGGCTTAAAAATTAACAGGACCATGAAAAGAGACAAAAATATTTGGTGCTGGGTTTCATTGCTAGAGCAGGAAGTGTTTCCAGAATATTCTTGTGCCTGTGTTCTGGTCCTTGCTTGCCCGAATATTGCTGAAGGACATGCACCTATGTTGTCTCTCTAGGTTATTGTGACATGAAAGCATGTTGTTACCCTTTGTGGAAAGAAAGCACTCACTATTTCTTTACATTCCATGGACTTGATTTGAAGACCTAAGGAATATTCTGACCCTTTTTAAAAAAGGATTTTCTCATGTTTTTACTTTAACAGAAATAAAAGAATAATGTTTTCTCTTTTGTGGTATTATTTTACTGAGTAAAATTTAATTGACACTTGGTTTTTGTGATAAAAATGCACATATTTTGTAAGATAAGTTGGGTAAAAGATTAAAACATAAAAGGATTACATAATTGAATACTGAAGAATCAACAGCAGCCCTGAAACTTGAATGGGTCTACCTATGGACTTAGCGACTGAATAATGCCTTTTTTGGCTTACAAGTACCTAAATGTGCCTATGCTGCATGGTTAATATGATAGCTTAGTTTAATTTGTATAAACTCTAATGTTCTTAAAGAATAAGTTCCAAACTACCTTTTATATCTGCATTATTATTATTTTGTTGCATAATAACATCATTGTTCATTTGCATTTAGGTGGCTTTCCCCAACATTTTCATGAACAACAATCAGAGAAGTAAAATGCAAGTAACTAAGTTTTAGTAACATGGACACAATTTAGTGAATATCTTTTCCCCCAGTCTTTAATTTTTAATTTATCCATGACTGCATTAATTATTTTGCACATTATTTGCAATGAGTTTCTAATATTGGAATAATTTCTAAATCTGCAAAATAGTGCTAGAGAGATTTTAAATTAATGGTCCATTGCACAAAATTCGTGTTGGGGGGGGGGGGTGGAGGGGGAGGAAAGGGCCCTTCAGCCTGGTCTGCACTCTCTCCAATCTGGGACTCCTTGGGGCAGTCAGATAGTCCTTTTGCAATCTGGGACTGCTGGCTCCTAACCGCTTATCTGCCTGCCTGCCTGATCACCCCCAATTGTCCCCCCTGCCGGCGTGATCGCCCCCAACTGCCCATTCCCAACTCCCCCCCACCGACCTGCTCACTCCCAAACCCTCCCCCCCCCCCCCGCCTTTGTCGGTCTGCATGCCTCCAACTGCCCCCCCTACCGGCCTTTATGCCCCCAACTGCCCCCCCCCCCCCGCCAGTGTGATCACCCCTAACCACTCTGCCTGCCAGCCTGATCGCCCCCAATTGTCCTCCCACCCCCTGCCGGCCTGCTCACTCCCAACTGTCCCCCTGCCGGCCTACTTGCCCTCAACCCTCCCCCCCCTACCAGCATGCATAGCCCCAACTCTCCCTCCCCAATCCCCCCAGCCTATCACCCCTAACTTCTCTGCCTGCCTGTCACCCCTACTGGCCTGATTGCCCCCACCTGCCAACCTGCTCACTCCCAATTTTCCCCCTCCCAGCCTGCTTGCACCCAACTGCTCCTTCCTCCTGCCCCCTCCCCTTCCCCCCCCCCCCCCGTTCCGCCAGCCTGCTCCTAACTTACCCTCCTGCTGGTCTGCTAGCCCCCAATTGCCCCCCCCTGCCAACCTGCATGCCCCCAGCTGCCCCCCCCCCCGCCAGCCTACTTGCCTCCAATTGCCCCCCCGCCAGCCTGATCACCCCCAAATGCCCTCCCCTCATGGCCTGATTGCCACTAACTGCCTCTGCTTCAGCCCCACCACCATGGCTTTGTCTGGAAGGTCTCCTGGTTTTATTAGCATACTACCCTTTTATTAGTCTAGATGAGAGATGTGGTGCACGAAACTTGAGCACTCAGTGGGGGGGTTACCTCAACCCAGCCTGTGCCCTCTCACAGTCCAGGAGCCTCCATGTCTGAATGACAGTTGGGGAACAGGCCTAAGCTGGCAGTCGGACAGCCTTAGCGCTGCCATGGAGGTAGGAGAGGCTCCCGCCGCCACCACCACCGTCTCTCCAGTCGTGAGCCTGGCTTCTGGCTGAGCGGGGCTCCCCTTGTGGGAGCTCACTGACCACCAGGGGGGAGCTCCTGAATTGAGCATCTGCCCCCTAGTGGTCAGTGCCTGTCATAGTGACCAATCATGCCACTGTTCAGTCAATTTGCATATTATCCTTTTATTATATAGGATGTGCCACCCTAAGGCTTCAGCTTGGAACAGAGCTTGTACAGGAGCCGTTCTCATACTGGCCAAGGTTGGCACAGTGTAGTTGAGTTTTTTGGACGTTGGTAGCAGAGACCTTGTCATCTCATAGTGGCATGTATTGTAGTAAGGCCACAAGTGTTGCAGGGAAGTCTTTGGAGCAGTTTCTAGATGTGATTTATTAGTTTTCTTGCTTTATATAAAACCTCCAAATGTGACTGTGTCTCTCTAGAGCAGTGGTTTCAACCTTTCTAGTGCCGTGACCCCCAACGATAAAATTATTTTCGTTGCTACTTCATAACTGTAATTTTGCTACTATTATGAATGGTAATGTAAATACCTGTGTTTTCCGATGGTCTTAGGCGACCCTGCTAGCGGTTTTCAACCTGTGGGTTGCGACACGGATGTGTTGATGCTAGATTGCATAGGTTCAAATCCTGGTTCAGCTTATTTTGCTGTGTGACCAGGTGCCTCACCTGAAAATAGAAATGCTAATCATTCCTACTTCTTAGGATTATTAGGAGGATTAAACAACTCATACATGCAAAACAGTGTCACAAAAGTGTTGAAACTGAGCCATTGCAAGCTGCAAAGTCCTGCAGGAGAGCAATTAAGTCAGACTAAAGGAAAATGGTTTGAAAGCAGTGGGAAGAAAACAAGAGTCTTGCTAAGGGAAACTGCAACCTGTGTAATCTGAGTGGACAGAGTTGCAAGGCTTAGAGTCTGCTGACTTGAGAAAACCTACCATAATTGAAACAACCAAGGGGCCAAGCAGCAGCTATAGCAGGAGTTGAGATTGGAGATTGTGGTTTTATAAACATGGGATTGAAGAAGTATTTTCCCACTTCAAATGATGGCTTTGAATTGACAATAGCCAATAAGGAGAGAGAAGGGACTGGACAGAGCCTCAGATATCACGTGCTTCAAGACAATGCTCGGCTTACAGATCATGAGTAAGATCTTTGTGTTGATTTGAGCATAGAATGTGTAGGTATCCTAATTCTTTTTTGCCTTTGTGTGCTAGGTCATTGGTTAAGGGTAGATAACCTGGCTTTTTAGCTGTAGGTCAGTACCATGTAGGGCCACATGTACCTATCAAGAAAACTGCTTTTCACCCAGATACTTGGGACTGGAAGAGACTTGAAGTCATCTTCCATAGGTTGGGGGTGAATGCCCTTAAAGTTTATTATATGGGGAAAACAGTAAATATTTTGAGGGAAACCAGAGAAGTCAATTGTGGTAGACACCACATATCTCCAAACTCCTCCTCATCTTATGCCTCTCTTTTAAAGGCTGGTAAAGTTCTTATGTGAGGTAGGGGAAGCCATGTGCCATTTCTAGCCAATGAAGTGTAAGTGGTGATGTCGGTTACATTTAGGTAGTTTTACAAATACTTCTTACTTTCCTGGTTAAGCCATTTAATGAACTTCAGGTGGTTAACCAACATGCCAAGGATGGTGTGACGAAAGGCCTGGTCACATTAGTGAGGTGCTGCAAAGCCCTAGGTATAACTTCCGGGTGGAGAAACTGAGCATTGTTTGGTGGTTTCTTAGGCTTGAAGGCAAATTTACCTCTTGCTTATACATCTATCTGCTTCACAAAATGTGTGCAATCAGAAGCAGGGGTTGGGGGGTTTTCAGATAATTAAAAATAGCCTATCGGTATAAGACTTTGCAGTCTACATTTTCTCAGAGTTTGCTTTTCCTATAAGTAGTTCCTACCTAAGCTAAAAGAGTATTCAGTTTCTTGTTTCATTTGAATTCAACAAGCATTTTTTGTCAATTGCTATATGTATAGGTATTGCTTTTAGGAATAAAAAAGTGAATAAGGTAGTAATCCTTGCTTTCAGAGATTATATTTTAGAGAGACAGACACA